TTCACAAAAATGATACCAAATTAAAGCTGAAGTCACGTAGGTCATGAATCCAAGATCCAATCATCCAAAACACTTGTAAATTGAGAGAATTGAAGGCAACAAGTTTGAGATGCACAACTGAAAACTCAACCAAACATGGCCTACTCAACGTAGGGCTTCAGATGTAACCAATATGAACCTAATTCATGGCCTAGAATGAGAGAATTGTGAAGAAGAAACTTACTGAACGGAGACACTCCGTTGGTGCTTTAAATGAGTGCAAGCTTGCTTCCAATGCTCCAGATCCACTCCAAATTCTTCAAGGAATATGAATTGATCTTCAATTGGACTTGTTTTGAGCAGAAAAGTAGAATACGATTTTCAAATTTGCATGAGAATTTCAAATCTGAAAATGCTCTCTCTTGCTCCAATTTCCACTTCTGAGCTCTGAGGGCGAGCTTTTCACTTATATATGATGGATCTTGGATGAATTTGAAGGCCCATGAGGCTTCAATTCGGTTAATTTGAAAAATGCCCGAAAATGGCAAGCTTCTCATGCACACGTGAAATGCTTGCATACACACATGAAAACCACTCCAATCTACAACACATGAGTTCCATTGGACATGATAATTGGTTTGGGCTTTTGGTTTGATCCAATTTGCATGTTTTAGATTGAAACTTCTTTGTAAAGAAAGCTTGAATTACACGTGCTCTTGCTCATTTGTGCCAAAACCAATTTGTGCAAACTTGTTATGAGTACATTATGAAGTGTCTTGCATTAAAATGAGACATAAACATGACCTATAATGTATTGAATTTAAATCATGTTTAAAATTCTATTTTTCACTTGAAAATCTCCCCATATGTCCATAATCATCCATAATTCACATGATCCTTGAGTTCTATGATGCAAATGAAGTCTCTTAGAGCAACTTTCACGTTGGTTGAAAGTTCATTTGAGGTACACAAGTGCATGAAAATGACCTATGTAACAAATGACCCATAATCAAACTTTCCCAAAATACCCTTTCCTTGTAAAGTCCATAACTTGAATTCCACAAATGATTTCAAGGACTTCTAGGACTTTTTTGAAATCTAAGAACATGAGGAACAACTTTCATGTTTACCCCAAGTTGAGGAGAAAATTGATTCTAGGTCAAAAGTGCCTTAGAAGTGAGTTGACTTTTTGTTGACCAAAAATAAGTTCATCTGAGACCTCTAACTTGATGGCATCATAAATTGAGTTCCACAAACCCAATGGACGAGTTCTAGTACTCAAAAGAAAGCTTAGAACATGCATTATAAGTTTCATGTTTGCATAAAAGTGTGATTGAACTTGTATCATGAGGTAAATTGTCTTTGAAGTTAGGCACTAAAGAAGGGGATTTTACACTGACATCTTGTGAAACCTTAATTTAGTAACCACTCCAACTCTTGATTCTTCCTGATTTGAACTTGACATGACATCTTAGATGTCTCAACATAACTTCCCATGGATTTAATGACTTATAACTAAATCTCAAACTCTCCCAAGTCCACAGTTGACCTTGAGTTGACCAAATGAAACCCTAGGTGCACATCCTTTGACTGTGACCTCTTGCAGATGAAATAAGTGCATAGACAAGCTCCACAATGACTTCTAAACTACTCAATGAGATTCTCAAACACATCTTAACCACAACAATGATCTTATGGACCCCTGATAATCTTCTGTTGACCCCTAAGATAGGAGACAATCCACACACTTCAATCCTCTCCTCTCAAGGAGCTCTGACAGTTTCATGATGATCATAAGTGCTTGATGACTTGAATAACATTCTGTCTTGAGCTTGAAACCTTTGAGAATCTTGAATTGAATGGCACACCACTCTTGATCCCCTATAAAGGATAATGCTATACAAATGCAAATGCTAACAATGAAATGAAACATAAACCAAGTAAAGAAAAAGGTTGGTCAAATTTTGGGGTACAACACATACTGCTTCACATACATACGCTTCAAATATATTTTACATAGAGCTTGACATTATTAAGACTAGTGGCCTTGCCACATAGATAAAACATAAAATAAAAGTACAAAAAGGAAACCAAAAGAAAGCATAACAAAAAGAACTTCTTAAGTCCAACAAGACTGACACTTATACTGACAGTAGTAGTAGGGATATGATCAGCATTTGACAAAACATTAACAACTCCCAATCTAAATGTTATAGTAACCCATCTCCACGTAACTTCATATCCTTTCCTTCTGAACTGTCGAGAAGTAAGCATGGTTCGAGCTCGTTGTCTGATCGTCATAGAATAACTCAAAATGCAAAACAAAAAGGACACAAGACTAAGATTTATTTACAAGTTTAAAAATGGGAATGAATGTGTAAAACAATAATATATATGACAACCAAAATTATTCAAAAAAACGTATCTTTAACCCATAATTACATATACTCTATCTCTATTTATTCTAATGCATCCCTGAACTATATACTGACTCAGGCCAATAAACACTGTCAATGATATCTATCCCACTTACCAAAATCAGATATCACAAGACCACATGCAACCAACGTACTCCCAATTATTAAGAGCTACACCACCTAACTTCAACAGAGCCTATGTGTTATAAGTCAATCGTCCCTGAGAATTCAGGCCAAGAACCATGCCTTGCCTAGCATATATAGATAATAATCCCTGTCAAGATTGTATGCAACCGATCAACCTCGTGTGTCCCATACTACACGATAGTGGACTTAAACATTCCTCAATGCAAGTCTATATGATCACTCAATCATCTTATGGAAACTCTCAACCATAAGTATTAAGTTAATACTTAGGAAATATCGTATCAACCCTTAAGGTTATACTTATTATCTATACTTAGGTTGAGTGTCAAATCCATCACATGTCTTGACGTATTTCTTCTTGGCGTGATCCTTATCTTTACATAATCAGTTCAGTTTGTATAATGAATAATTGTATGGTTGACTTTCCATGTAAGAGAGATGGACCGTAAAAGGCATAGTCGACCAAGTCTTTCCTTAGCCAGAATCCAACCAAATACAACTACTCAATGTATCCAACTTCCCTTATGTTATTGATGATCTAATACTTAATATCTAGTAATGTTGTTCTCTCCTTAATAGATAATTATTCTTAGTCTAACAATTACAATCATTTAAGTATAAATAAAGTAAATAAATTAGATAATTAATCAAGCAATGCAAGCACAATACAACCTCAAATTGTCACAAATTATTCTTATGATAAATAATTAAGGCCGACGTAACCTCGCTTAGTAATTTGTGAAAATCATTATTCAAGAATAGGCTATCCTTAGTTATTTATCGCTAGTAGGACTTGGGCCACCACCACACACATATATATATTAAGCTATTTTACGCTAACTGTCCCAACGTATACGAAATCTTGCCCCCACCTTTTGCTGTTGAACATCATTGAAAGTCCACGACCGTTTTCTCTGATCTTTCCCAAGAACCTAATTTACGATAACCATTGGATTATACCAAATTTATAAAATAATTAGAATATAATTTATGGTTAATTAAACATAATCTCGTTACAACAAATATTTAATAATTAAAATATATAATAATAACCTCGATTATATTTAAATAATTATTAAATTCAAATATAAATTAAACTATACCTCCTTTTGAATTTGTTTGTTTTAGAAAATTATCAAGAGTATATTTCTAATAATATTTAAATTATAATAATATTTGGTCATTATAATGACTTAAAGTGGTAAAAATTTATTTTGGACTTTATAAGTTCAATATCTCGATGTCTGAACGAAATTTGCATAGAAATTTTAAAATAATCTTTATATAATAACATAGTTAAAATAATATAATTAAAATAAAATAGACATTATAACGGATTACCGATTACATATGAAATTGATTTTAATAATAATAATAATAATAATAATAATAATAATAATAATAATAATAGTAATAATAATAATAATAATACTAATAATACTAATAATACTAATAATACTAGTAATAATAATACTAGTAATAATAATAATAGTAATAATAATAGTAATAATAGTAATAGTAATAATAATAGTAATAGTAATAATAGTAATAGTAATAATAATAATAGTAATAATAATAGTAATAGTAATAATAATAATAGTAATAATAGTAATAGTAATAATAATAGTAATAGTAATAATAGTAATAGTAATAATAATAATAGTAATAATAATAATAATAATAATAATAATAATAATAATAATAATAATAATAATAATAATAATAATAATAATAATAATAATAATAATAATAATAATAATAATAATAATAATAATATGAGATTATGTGTGATTGTAATACTTTTATCCAACTATTTTCTTTTCAATTCCTAGTCAATACATTTGAAAGATTTATATTTATGCAGACTTAGTCCACACGGAATTTTCTTTCTCTTTTCTTAGCTAATTAACTTGCTTATGCTTACTCTCTCGTATGCAAAAACGTTGACTGACTAATTGGAAATTGCATATCGCATACTTAGAAATTAGGAGCAACGTTTGAAATGGGCTGAGAATATATCACATGTGAAATTACTAGTTTATTAACTTAACAAAGTAGCTTCTTTTGGAAATAATACTTTTTTTTGTCTCTATCGTTTTATTTTACTTTATTTTTCTCCTACTAAAAGTTCAAGTTATGAGAGTACATACATGGTATTGGTGATACAATTGATGAGTTTTGGGAGTACAGTTTTTATTTATAGTTAAATCATGTTAAAGACACTGGATTAGAAATATTGGTTAGATTTTTTAATGGAAAACTGTTATCTCATTCAATATATAAAGGATTTAGCATGAAATCAAAGGTCAAGTTAAGCAGAAGAAATACACTGAGACTCATCTTCTATCCAAACTGAATCAGCATAACTAACAATTAACATCAACGTTCAGAGAAATGATCAATATAAGTATACATGAAACTTATAGTACAAAGTATTAAGTAGTGTTGATCCCAACTTCACTCTATTTCTGAGATGACATCTAGTTCCATGTTCATTCGCCTAGCAGCATTTGTTCTAGTTGCAGACGCAGACGCAAAAGGATTAGGCGGCATCTCTAACTTCTCACCATTTCCTTCCAGCATTTGAACCACAGCCTTCATGGATGGACGATTCGCTGGGTGCCACTGAATGCACCAAAGTCCCACAACTGATAGCTTCTTTGCAATTCTAGCGTCTTCTTCTCCTTCTATATGAATTTTTATATCTTCCTCATTCTCTAAAAGATTATAAATCCATTGTGGATAGTGAACATGACTGCTATTTTCTTCAGTGTCATCGGTTATTTTCCTTCCCCCAACCATTTCAAGAAGCACCATCCCAAAACTATAAACATCTGACTTATAGGAAACATTGCCAAAGTTTCTAGAAAATACCTCTGGCGCAATGTAGCCCAAAGTTCCCCTAGCCGTGGTCATTGACACAATACTTCTTTCCTTTGAACAAAGTTTGGCCAAACCAAAATCAGAAATTTTAGGTGTGAAATTATCGTCTAGCAATACATTATGGGGTTTGATATCAAAATGTAGAATTCGTTTATCACAACCTTGGTGAAGATACTCAATTCCCTTAGCTATACCGACAGAAATGTTTTGTAGTCTTTCCCAACCTAAAAAGATATCCTTAGTGTCTGCAGATGATATGAATTTCTGCAACGAACCTTTCGGTAAGAATTCATACACCAAAGCTCGTTTGTTTCCGTCTGCACAAAAGCCAACCAAGCGAGCCACGTTGATGTGGTGAATCTGACACATTGCTTCCATCTCATTGATGAACTCTTGGCCATTTCCTGTTGAAGTGTTTAGGACCTTAACAGCTACATGAACTTCGTTTGATAGCTTTCCTTTGAAGACAGATCCAAAAGCTCCCTGCCCCAGCTCTTCCTTAAAATGATTTGTAATTCTTTTTATATCGGCGTAAGTATATCTAGCAGGCTTAAGAGCTTTATAGTCCTTCAAAAACTTTTTGATCCTTATGTAATTCTTCCTTTCAATGTAAGTTACATAGATACAATAAGTTGCAACTCCAACAAATATCAGAGAAAATGGGCCTAGGATTCCACCTGGACATAGTATTACAAATAAATCAATTACATGTAAATAGGAAATTTAATTTCTTATAAATATCATTCACTCTCACTCAGTTTTGACCTTTAATTTATTTACCATACGAGTTTGTCCCTAAATATATACCATACAAATGAGATGAAGTTTGGAAAGCTTACCAGCAATCACTTTTCCTTTTGAGGAACCTGCAAAAAAAATTGAAGACATGAGCTTCTCATGACTTTATATAGATTATAGCATCATAACTTCTTTACGCAATTATATAGACGAAATCATACCTTTATTGATACCTCTGCATTCAAATTCGGGTTGAGATGGGTTTCTGTTGGCCTTGCATTGCCCACCGTTTTCTTCACAGTTTCTGCAATCTGGTTGGATCCAATTGAGACCAACATCAACATTGTGGTTAAACAATGAATTAGGTAACATTACAAGGTTTTGGATTCTAGTACAGGACAACAAAGGTATCCAGATTATTGATGATTCGGAATCCACTGCTATAACTTCAAATCCTGGCAAGTTGAGGCAAGAAAAGTTTCCGGATGTTATTATATCATGATTATTGTCATCTGTGTTTCGGCGATTCCTCCCTGAACAGTTGAATAGAGCATATTCGCTGAGTCCAAACTCAGAGTTGAACTGAAAAGGAGATGAGGATATATTGAAATTAGGAATCTGTTTGTTAAGGCAGAGCTCAGGATAAGACACTGTTAAATGTTGTGAAGTGTAATTTATGGTTTTGATGATGGTTTTAGTAGAGAAGGGTAGTTCCAACACAGTTTGGTTGGTGTCAGAGCAATATAGCTCAAACCATGAATTGTCATAGCCACACCACTCTGGTTGCTTTCCTTTGAGACTGAATGGGAATCTTATGGATGGTCCATGAATACCATCACAACTTGATTCCTTGCATTGATCATCATGGGAAGTAGTTTCTTCAACTGCAAGCGTAGTTAAGAAGCAGAAAAAGACGACAGAAATGAGTTTTTGTAACCAAATAATGGCCATGACCGATCAAGAATCATATCAATCTAACAAATCAGTATAACTTATTGACATAGTGCAACTTTGCATTGCATTGACCATGACTCCATAAGTCACACTCATTTGTAAAAACAATTCTTTCAATAAATATAAATATAATTCTCATTGTAAATTATTATATACATTTATAATTTTTTTAAAATATATATACAGTACATAATAGTTGTAGTATTTCTTATGTAATTTCCAAACTTTAGAGGATAAGAAATGAGTGATGGAATGAAAGAGTAAAAACTGACATGGAACCATGAGGCATTATTTGGCGATGCATGAGGTTGACTCGAAGTCAATTGATACGACTGAAATGAATTAGTCCAGCCATCCATCACTGACTGGCTCGAGAAGATAAAGAAAATTGAATTGAGAGAAATGAATTAGTCTAGCCAGAGATCAGAAGATACTGAAAAATGAATTGCTGTGTAATATTGATACCAATGATATGCGCGCTTGTCCTTTTTTTGCCGCTCTTTTTTCAAGACTTCTGTAGAGTAGAAGGCCCAGGCCCCTGCGGGATCATATTCAACAAACCTTCACATTTAAATGGAAAAAAGTGTGAGAATCCCAATTTCCAAGTGATGTGTGAAAACAACATATCGGTGATTTCCTTCATCTACGGCGGACTTACAGCAGACGCCATTATAGCTTCTAATTCATCCTCCTTCCGTTACATCATTACCGGAGTTAGTCCTGATAATAACTGCCCTATCATCAATACCCTTTCTCTTCCGTACGAAAACATCTCCTTCCTTACCGATCTCTATTCTCGTGATTATTTAATTATTATGAGATGTGAGAACCCGGTAAATGACTTCCGCTATATGGATATTTCTTCTGAGAGTTGTAGTGGTGGAATTGATGGTGAGGAAATACAACATTCTTATTTATATGCAGTGGATGATTATTTTGGGTCAAATGTGAGAGATATAGCAGAGTCATGCAGAATAGATATGAAGGTAAAGATGAACAGGTTGTATGGAAATGTGAAATGCAGTAGCGAGTGTGGGTATCCAGAGGTTCATACTGAGCATGTCAATGGAATTGAGCTTCGTTGGCGACCAATAAGCTGTGAGCAACTGCAGAAGCAGCAACACATAGATAGTGTCCAGGAAGAGGGACGATTCTCACTCCGCTGCTTTCTTTACAGCGTAGTATTATTTTGCCTTAGAAGTGCAGTAAGTAGTAAGTAAAATGAATACCCTTCCTTTTTAATTTTAATCCCTTCTTTACTCATTATATGAGTTTCTCTATCTCTTAAATACCACCGCGCAGTACAACTTACAAGAATTTAAATACAATAATAATCTATATACTCTTATACAAATTGGAATAATCTTTTCATAATAACTTATTTATTTTTACAGTTTTTGTTGGAAAATTTGTTCTTGGATCGCCCTTTGTGATTGCACTTCTAATATTTAAATGGGGAAAAAGGGATTTACCCATATATGACAGAGTTGAAGATTTTATCCAGAGCCACAACAATTTCATGCCCATAAGGTATTCTTACTCACAAATTACAACGATGACCAAACTTTTCAAGCATAAGTTGGGTGAAGGAGGCTACGGTTCTGTATATGAAGGAGTGCTTCGAAGCAAACGCAGAGTCGCTGTTAAGGTATTGACTAAGTCTCAAACCAATGGACAAGACTTCATCAATGAAGTTGCAACTATTGGAAGAATTCGCCATGTCAATGTAGTGCAACTAATTGGATATTGTGTTGAAAGAACAAAGCAAGCTCTGGTTTATGAGTTCATGCCTAATGGTTCTCTTGATAAACACACATTTTCACAAGAGCACGAATACTCATCTTCATTAAGCTACCAGAAAATCTACGACATTTCTCTTGGAATTGCTCGTGGAATCCAATATTTACACCATGGTTGTGAAATGCAAATCATACACTTTGATATAAAACCACATAATATTCTTCTTGATGTGAATTTAAACCCGAAGATATCTGATTTTGGTTTGGCAAAGTTGTATCGAATAGATCAAAGTATTTTAACTTTAACAGGAGCACGAGGAACAATGGGTTACATGGCTCCTGAGTTACTGTACAAGAACATAGGAAGCATATCTCATAAAGCTGACGTTTTTAGTTTTGGAATGATGCTAATGGAAATGGCGGGTAAAAAAAAGAACAAAAATTATATAGAGAATTGTTGGCAAGACTACTTTCCTAAGTGGATTTATGATCAGTTTGAGGAAACAATAGATACAAATAATGGAACAGAAGAGGAAAAGAATATTGCAATGAAGATGATTGTGATTGCATTGAAATGCATACAAATGAAACCAGACGACCGTCCATCAATGAATGAAGTGATAGAAATGCTTGAAGGAGATGAAGTGCCTCAACACCTTCCACCTAGTCCACAATCTTTGTTAACCTGGCAGACCATGTCAACCGATGCAAATGAGCTTGATGACAACTAACAATCATCTTAAGCTTCGCGTGGGATGGAAGTGCAATAAGGAAGAGAATGAAACTAATGCCATTACTTCCAATTATCATGCAAACTTAAAAGCTTCTACTAGATAAATACTATAGTTCTTTTCATGCATTTTTGTTTCTTTACTTTTATTAGCATATGTTAATTTAGACACTATGACTCTTAAATACTCAATCATCAAACATGCATGTAAAATAGGTAAACTATAATAGCTGGCATCATTAGCAATCTTAAAATGTTTTTGAATAATCTTACGCGTCCCAAAGTGACGAGGCGTTTCTTAAAGCATTTTGTTATATGCTTTACTTCGACCGCTCCTAATCGTGCATGTTCCATATGCTAAGTAGTTTCTAAATTAAGAGAGAACTCATTTGTGGCATACGTGACCCTTAAGATATCAAATCTACTGATGTATTGTCAAGAGATGGAAATTTAATATTTGGTCACATGTTAAGCATGTGTTTTAACTTTTGTTCAATTTGGGCATCATACATTTTCAGTTAAAACCTCAATCTAAATTCTAAATGGTTAAAAAAGGAGATCCACATTGAAATATTCGAAATTTGAAGATTCATAATATCACTTTGAAGGAGATTTAAAGATAATTCAAAAAAACATAAATAAGTCAGCTTTGAAAGTCAAATGAAGACACACTCGAAAGATAATAAGTCGAAGAATGAATAGTATAACACGATCAAAGTACAACACTAATAGTCTTAGTGGCTTTCTTAAGAAGCTTTGATCCAAGAAAACTCATGTGTCTGACCCGAAGACTAGGCCGTTTAGTATAAATATGGTCATTTGTGCAATGATCGGGGTCAAGTGTTTTGGGAGTCCTTTTTTCATAAAACTTTTTTAAATGAGGAGGCTTAGTGTTCTCTAGAATAAAGGCTTTTCAAATTTCTTGACACAAACGTCGGGGTCTTCCAACTCTTCGTTGGGGTCCTTTTAGATTACTTTTTCTTGTCGAGTCGCTTGAACTTGCATCCGCAAGGCCTCATTTTGACGTCATATTTCGTCCATAGTGGATCGAATTTCTATTATGACCTCATTATCATCAAGTTTGGGTTGAGTTTGAGCAATCTTCTTAGTTGTTGTGTGCCACACAGTGAGTGTCAAATGTTCTTGCTAGTTTATGGTAGGATGAATCCCTCGTATAATATGCTATAATAAAATAATTAAGGTGTTTAGTGTTTAAGATAATTAGTGAATGGTCAAGGTTTAGGCTGAGTGTCCTATTTATAGAGGCAAGGGTACTAGCTCCCACCATGGTCTAAGTCTTTAGAGTAGCCATCTAACTCGAATATTAGATATTAACCTCCATTTTTATGTTCATATTAGTTGAAGCTTTGACTAATTAGGTTTTATAGTCTACTAAGGAAACCAGGTTTACCAGTGGATACCTATACCAATGTGCTTGTATTTAGGTCATAGTTGAAGGATTCAGAACAACGGTATAAGCCTACATATGGTAGGGGTTAAGTTCATAGCCTCATCTTTATGTCGATCTAAAGACCTGTTGTTCTTTTTGGATAAACTGTATTTTGCAAGACAACAACATGAAAGAGTGTTCAAGTTTTCCAAGCTACTTCAAGATGTTTTTCTAGTGCAGAAGGGACACACGATGGACGCAATGTCACAACATGTGGGTACGACATATGGGCATTTCTTAACAAGTCGAATTGATGCGTTTTGGAATAAATTTTCTATTGAAGATTCAATTAGATTTCATTGCTTTTATTTAGCAATATAGTTATATGATTTGTTAGACAACTGTGTAGATAATTATGGAACCAATCTTATCTAACAAGTTGTGTAAAGACTCTGGACGAAAAATTAAATTAAAAATCCAAGAAGAAAAGCTCAAAATACTTTTACTATATAATGAGCTCAAAACCTACATTAGAAATCAAACAATACATTGGAGATATTGGAGTGTCAGAGTTTATTTTAAGTCCTTGTTATTGTTGTATGTAAACCATACTATGTTTTAGTAACTTGGCACAGTTGTAGGTTTGTCTAATTAAGTTGTAATATTCAACATTGATTATTGAGTTGTAATCTCCAATCGTTGGTTATGTGATCCAAAAGAAAGTTAGAAGGGTTCTCATATTTATGGGGAGATCTAAATATAAATCCATTGGGTAATTTTAGGAAGAGGCGTCGAACAACAATAATGAATTTCCTTTCTTGGGTTGGAAGTCAACCCTCTAGACATAAGTGTTGTTGCATTGAGCTGGGTTACTAATTCTTGTGTTCTTTATTGCTTTTCATCTTTATCATCTTGTACAAGTTAAATTGTGTTAATAAGGTGGATTCTTGTATAAGAAGTCAAAACATATGTCTAGGACATCGCGTTCGACGTCAGTCCCCTAAGGAACAAAATTTTCAATTTGTATCAGAGTAGACACCCCTGCCTGTTGAGTGAGCTCTAGGGAAGATAAAATTTTTCCTATATGGACACAATGAAAGATGGAGGATCATTTAACAAACAACCTATTTTGTATGGCCCTAATTATGATTATTGGAAGTACATGGTGAATGCCTTTCTTAAATCCATGGGCAACAAAGAATGGAAAGCTCTGATAGAAGGGTGGAAACAACCAATGGTTTCTTCTAAAGATAGAAATACTAAATTGAAACCAGATGTTGAATGGATTGATGTCAAAGAAAATGAAAATGTTCACGTTTATAAACATATGTTCAGAGGCTAAAGAAGCATGGAAGATTATCAAAACTACACATGAAGGCACATTCAAAGTTTGTATGTTAAGGTTGCAGCTCCTTACCACAAAGTTTGAGAATCTGAGAATAAATGAAGACGAGTGTATTTGTGAATTCGACATCTGGTTGTTGTTCACATATGTTTTTAGCAAATAATATAGAGTTTAATTAACTTGTGAAATTAACTCAAAAACCTCGAAAGCAATTTGTGCAAACCATGTGTACAAGAAAGTGTGGGTGTCTGTAAAGTTATTGTGAATGTTTGCACGCAGACAAAGTGATGACAAATTGTAATGATCTAAAAGTTTGAATTAAAATAAATGAAAACTATAATAAATAGCATTACACAAACGAAATAAATGACAATAATATAAAAATGTTTCAATTAAGGAAACATAAAGACAATGAAAGAAGGGACACATTCTCACATATGTTACTCACAAACTGTTTCGCTCTTTGACTCGGGTACTCCAGTTTTACTCTAACATCACTCTCCACATCACTTAAAATGCAACTATGACTCTTTTACCCTTCCCAATATAAACTTTTCATACCTCGGGTCCAATGGTCTCCGAATCAATGACTTGTTTGGATCATTCTTTATAGAGTAATGTTAACTTGTACCTCTAGGGCACAAGTTAAGAACTAAATAGAGAAATGTTATATTAGAAATTTTGCATTGATTTTAATAAAAGTATAATATTAAATTTTTATTGCTTTTTTTTATACAAACTTTTGTTAAATTGATTTTTTAACTTGTGTCCTTAGAGCATCAATATCAGCATTTTTTCATCATTTTTACACTATTTCCAAAGCAACTCTGTCAGGATCATTTGAATAATTGGTTGTATAGAAGTGTTCTTTTATCGTTCTCACTGTAAGAGATGTTTTTCTCAAATAAGTTGGATTAAAAAAAGATATATCACTTAAGGTAGAGTGTATTGTGATATTTTGTGGAATTTATTTTAAAATTTTTGATGAATTGTATAGATATTTAAAAAATATTGATGAATTGTTTAAATAACTGAAAAATGTTATATAATATGAAAAATTTAGTAAGATCAATCTAAAGAATTAAAATGAATATTTTAAACATAGATGCTCTTAGAACAAAAGTTAGTATTGTCCTATTTTTAATTCGAGTCCTAACATGTTGAACCGGTCATCATTGGAATTAGTTTACGCAACTGCAACTATAGTTAAGTAGCATAGAAAAATTAAAGGGATGAGTTTTTCTAATCAAACAGTCATGACTACTGATCCATAACCATTTCAATCTAACAAATCGGTATGACTTATTGAGCGTGACCATGACTGATTCACACTTGGTTTGAATGAAAGTTATAACTCTTAATTAGTGTAGAAATTTAGGATCAAATATGAGTGATGGAAAGAGTAAAGGTTGACCTGGACTTGAGAATGTGACCCATCGGGCATTAATGGGCGGTTCATATGGTTGACTCAAAGTCAGTTGTGAATGAAATGCCCAGCCAGCTGGAGCATATAGATAGAGAAGATTGTAAGGTCGAACTTCCCCATACCCCCAGAAAATCAAAATGGCTAGACCAAACGTACTGGCGATTTTGTGCGGGAAAATAATCATCTACGCTGCCTTAATAACAGTGATATCAATTCTATATGCATTTACCCCTTCTCCATGCAAAGTAGTGCGCCCATGCGGAATCATATTCAAAAAATCCATATACGGTTCATATGATTACGTGTGTGAGTATCCCAGTTTCGAAGTGATATGTGAAAACAATAAATCGGTAATTTACTTCAACTATGGCGATCCTCGTGCGGACGCCATTATAGCTTCTAATTCATCCTCCTCTTTCCGCTACATCATGACCGGAGTTAGTCCTGATTCCTGCCCTATCATCGATTTTTTTTCTCTTCCGTACGAAAACGTCTCCTTCTTTACAAGTCACAGTTATCTGGAATATATAACGGTTATGAGATGTGAAAAACCGGTTGATTATGACTGGTATTGGGATATTTCTTCGGAGAGGTGTGGTGGTGATGGGGAAAAGCAATATTCTTATTTATTTGCTATGGATGATTCTTATAAATCATATGTGACAATGATAGGAGAGACTTGCAGAATAGAAATGAAGGTAATGATTAGTGAGTGGAATGGAAAGATGAAATGTAATAGCAAGTGTGAGGATCCAGATATTCACTGTGAGTATGTCAATGGAATTCAGTTTTGCTGGCGACCTTTCAACTGTAATCAGCAGCCGCGAGACAGAGACCTCGACTGGGCAGAGGGACGACTCCGCTGCATTCTCTTTGATGCGGCACTCACCTATCTTGGTTATGGAATGACTGGTAAGTCAATCTTAACATAAAATATAACTCTTCTATGGGTTAGAGTAACCTTTTCATAATAACTTATTTATTTTTACAGTTTTTGTTATTGGGAAATTTGTTCTTGGGTCACCCTTTGTGGTTGCAGTTTTGATATTTAAATGGAGAAAAAGACATTTATCTGTGTATGACACAATTGAAGATTTTATCCATAGTCACCACAATTTCATGCCCATAAGGTATTCTTATTCACAAGTTAAAACAATGACCAAACATTTCAAGCATAAGTTGGGTGAAGGAGGTTATGGTTCTGTATACGAAGGAGTGCTTCGAAGCAAACACAAAGTAGCTGTTAAGGTATTGACTAAGTCTCAAAGCAATGGACAAGACTTTATCAATGAAGTTGCAACCATTGGAAGAATTCATCATGTCAATGTGGTTGAGCTAATTGGATTTTGTGTTGAAAGAACAAAGCAAGCTCTCGTTTATGAGTTTATGCCTAATGGTTCTCTTGATAAACACACATTTTCAGAAGAACGAGGAAACTCATCTTCATTAAGCTACCAGAAAATCTACGACATTTCTCTTGGAATTGCTCGTGGAATTCAATACCTACACCAAGGTTGTGACATGCAAATCATACACTTTGATATAAAACCGCATAACATTCTTCTTGATGAGAATTTTAACCCAAAGATATCTGACTTTGGTTTGGCGAAATTGTATAGAATAGATCAAAGTATTTTAACTTTAACAGCAGCAAGGGGAACAATGGGTTACATGGCTCCTGAGCTGCTGTACAAGAACATCGGAAGCATATCTCACAAAGCCGATGTTTATAGTTTTGGAATGATGCTAATGGAAATGGCAGGTAGAAAAAAGAACAAAAACTATGTAGAGAATTATTGGCAAGACTACTTTGCAAAATGGATTTATGATCAATTTGAGGAAACAATAGATACAAACAATGGAACACAAGAGGAAAAGAATATTGCAATGAAGATGATTGTGATTGCCTTGAAATGCATACAAATGAAACCAGATGATCGTCCATCAATGAATCAAGTGATAGAAATGCTTGAAGGAGATGAAGTGCCTCAACACCTTCCACCTAGTCCACAATCTTTGTTAACCTGGCAGACCATGTCAACCGATGCAAATGAGCTTGATGACAACTAACAATCATCTTAAGCTTCACGTGGGATGGAAGTGCAATAAGGAGGAGAATGAAACTAATGCCATTGCTTCCAATTATCATGCAAACTTAAAGGCTTCTACTAGATAATTACTATAGTTTTTTTCATGCATTTTTGTTTCTTTACTTTTATTAGCATATGTTAATTTAGACACACTATGACTTTTAAATACTCAATCATTAAACATGCATGTAAAATGTGAACTTTAATAATTTGCATCATGATCTCTTCTTCATATTCTAATTACAACAAGGAAGCAAGTTGCTCAATTTGACAACAGCCATATAAATGTCCTGTGGCGCTTCTCAAAGAAATTCGCCATATGCTCTGCTTCGATCCTATGACTATGCTCCTAATCCTGCATGATCCATATGCTAAGTAGTTTCTAAATTGTGAGAGAATTCATTTGTGGCATGTGAGACGGGAAGATGATTCAAGCGAGATTTGGAGATTATTTGAATAGAACAAATAAGTTAATTTCAAAGTAAAAACAAAAATGAAGACAAGTTCAAAAGACAATGAGTCAAAGACTCATGAGTACAACGGTAACAATGTGCAAATTCACACATGACAAATATAGAACTCTATAAATGGTATTTCACAAATTGAGTAATATGAAATACAATTGGTGTTTGTAGTCCAATAGTTCTATATGATAATGTCACTTCTTAGCAACTAAAAATAGTAAAAGAAGGATAAAGTGCGTTACTCTGATAGAGGAAGGTATATGCCAAGGTTATAAGGGAGAAGAGAATATGGGATCATCCAAAATCATGCACACCTTCATTGGATCCTCAAGTCACACTTTATACATAATTAGGAGGAATATTTTTTGTTGATCTTCCTCTTCCTCGTGCTTCTTCTTACCACTGTAGTATTCAAATCAATTGTTCAACTGTGATTATTTTAGTCATGACAATTCGTAACCGATTGAATCCAACCTTGTTCTCAAGGTTGAGGTTTGATAATTAAGCTTAAAGTTAAACGAGTGCTTCCGTGTAGCTTCAATGGTGTCCTTTACATGGTCTCAATTGTGAAACATGAACACATGGTGAATTTTGGCAGCAGAGGTAACAACAGTCGATAAGCCACGATGCCAATCTTTTTGCTGATAGGAAATAGACCGGAATCGCGCAAACTAAACTTTTGATTCCTACGTAAAGTGAGGGAATGTTGTCTAAAAGGTTGATGTTTCACTAGAACCATGTCACCAATGGAAAATTCTGCAAACCTTGTTTTAGCATCAACAAATTTTTTTATAACCTGTTGTGATCTTAGTATATGGGAGTATGGGACAGTGGGGTCAAAAAAGCCCAAAGTCCTAATATGTAGGTTCAATGGCCTCTTTTTTTCCCCTTACTACATAAATATGTTTTGGCCCTTTATTTTTTAAGTTTCCTCATATTTTTTTCTTTTTATTTGGCCTAACTAAAAGGCTCAAAATCTAATTAGTTTTAAAATCTAATTAGTTTGAAACAAAATATTTTAGTTTTTTTAAAAAAATAAATAAATAATATTTTTTAAAATTTTGATGTTTTATAAAAAAAAATTGAGTGCTTTTTCAAAATAAAAAGTCAATTTTTTTTCAAAAAAAAGACCGATATTTTTTTAAAATAAACAAAATCGACTTTTAAAAAAAAAAGTCAATTTTTTGAAAAATATTAATATTTTTCAAAATAAAAAGTCGGTTTTTTCGAAAATAAAAAAGATCGAGTTTTTTCTCAAAATAAAAAAAACATGATTTTTTTCAAAAGTTAAAAATAGTCGACTTTTAAAAAAAAAAGTCGTTTTTATTTGAAAATTTAAAAAACAGTAGTTTTTTTCGTAAATTATAAAAAGTTGATTTTTTTTCTCGAAAAAAAATTTAATTTTTTGAAAAATAAAAAGAAATGATTTTTTCGAAAAATAAAAAAAGTCAATTTTTTCAAAAGTTCAAATTAGTTGATTTTTAAAAAAAATAATAAAAGTCAATTTTTACAGAAAATAAAAATAGTCGAATTTTTCAAAAGTAGAAAACAGTGGATTTTTTTCGAAAATAAAATCGTTTTTTCTATAAAAAGTCGATTTTTTTCAAATGTTTAAAATAATTGATTTTTTTCAAAAAAAAAATTCTAGAATAAAATAGTCAATTTTTCTGAAAATATAAAAGTTAATTATTTTTAAAAAATTCATTTTTCTGGAAAAAAAAACTCATTGTTTTAAATAAATTTTTTCTAAAGGAGTTAACTTTTTAAAAATCTTGGCCCCTTGAGGCCTTTCTTGGACCTTTAGTTTTTGGGAGTCTATTTATTTTAAGGCTCATTTATTTTTAAAATTTTGGACCAATATTTTTATGACCTTAAAATTAAAATTTGAGACACTGACCGATTGTGTAATATAGATTGTTTGATTGCAATTTATAGGAAGCAAAGGAACAACACCAAAATATAAAATTAATGAATGCTCTTCTAAGAGTACACAGGGAAATAAGGTATCTCTTAGTTCCCTTTCTCTTTGCATCTGATCTGAGAATCACACCATCTTCTTTTAGTTGATCTTGGTCATTGTAGCCCCAAGCTAGCTGCATGTGCTGCAGACTTATCATCCCTGTATCTAGATTACGCGATAGGTTATGGAGCTGTCCGTCATTTGATTGTGTCTTCCCTTGCCTTTTGGCCAGTATATGGCTGGAGTCCAGGTCTTTATCACACTCTTCTTGTCAGTGTTCACGGTACTTCATTGTTGACTCTAGGTCTAACAGAAACATGCAGTTTGCTCTATCTTTTGGCATGCTTATCCATTTGAGCTTATCAATTATGTGTGGAACTTGCCTAAGACTAATTTGAATGCAGAAAGAAATAGTTCTCATAGATGTGAAAAGATACAACTTAATTTAGTGTCATATAAAAGAGACAGAAGGAAGAAAAAGTTAAAAGTAAAAATTGGCAACTTTGTTAAATAGGGAAATGTCTACAATATTTCAGTGTGCATCTGACATCATTAAATCAAACAACCTTTTTTATTTAAAATGATGGTAATCTTCATAACTGTTACTCGTGGTTTGTTAGAGGGTTGATCATAATTTATTCATCTCGCTAATGGGTATTTGCTACTACATGTTAGTACTCGTATACACTCGGCGTTTGATGTTTATAGTATATGTGGAGCATTTTCATGTTGTAATTCATTGAGTTTACCAATATGTTGTTGTTTGAGAGGATATGAACCCATGAAATTTCGTGTGTCTCGGGTTATATCATCTTTGGATGCAGATATGGATAATGGGTTGTTGCAAAAGTTAGAATATTTTTTTCCTTCTAATTGGATAATGATTATTCATATGCTTATCCTAATATATTTATATTATGAACCAAAGCTGCATTTGAAGTGTTAGGTTATAAATGAGCTTTAATTTTGTGATATATTTGGTGTTTTGAGTATGATCTAAATGATAGATTTTATTATACTTTGTGTTAATACGATCAATTGTTGTTCTTGTAGGTTGAAGTATAAATTTGAACTCATTTCCGACACCGAACATAGTTATTGATTATGAAATTTCAAGGCAGGTACTACTTTATGACTTAAACATGTTCCTATTGCTTAAGTGATAAAATAGAAAACTTACCGAATTCATTTCATTAGCATAATTTGATGGAAGTTATGTAGAACTTGAACTAACTGGTTTAACTGATGTAAAGATTGGAGAGGACTATGAAGTTGTTTTCACCAATTCTGCAGGTATCAAATTCTTTAACATTGTTTTAGTAATGTTGATTTAAGTTTAATTATATGTTATAATTAATATAGGATAATACGCAGGTTTATACAAGTATAGGCTAGGAGATGTCGTAAAGGTTATGGAGTTCCATAACTTAAGCGCCGAAGTAATCTCGTGCTTACCATTAATATTGACAAAAACACTGAGAATGATTTACAATTATCAGTAGAAATTGCATCCCAGTTTTCAATTGAGGAGAAATTTAGTTGATTGACTACACTAGCTACATAGATTTATCCAAAGAACCAGATCACTATGTCATCTTTTGGAAAATCAGTGGTGAAGCAAGTGATGAAGCACTTGTGAGTTGCAACTGTTTGGATAAGTCTTTTATTGATCCAGGTTATGTTACTTCTAGAAAAGTCCAAGGTATTGATGCTCTTGAACTCCGAGTTGTTGAAAAAGGAACATACCAGAAGATTCTTAAGAGCCAAGTTGATAGAGGTGTGTCTGTGAATATTCCTTCTAAGTAAAATTCTAGGAGTCAAATTTGTATGAACCTTCCTTATAGTCCTTATTTAGGATCTTAGGTTTAGGTTGAAAAGAAAAAATGAAATAAAGATGACAAATATAGCACTGAATATGATATTGGTGTGTAATATGCTATAATTTGTTCACCTGCATTAGGAATATATTTGTACATATATAATACTTATTTTTAGAAAACTATTTGTTGCATCAATAATGTGAAATACTTAGGTCGTTCTCATTAGATGACCGATAACAATAATGTAAGTAAAATAAATTTCACTTAATTTTTTTATTCTAGAAATACATTGCCTGCGGATTTACCTGCGGATCTAGATTCCTGCGAGTTTACCTGCAGAATTTTTTTCCTGCGATTATACCTATGAATTCCTTTTCCTGCGAATTTTCATTACCTCAAAGATTTTAGCTATAGCGTAAAATATTCCTGCGGATTTTTAACTAAAATCTGTAGGTAAGCCCGTAGGAAATATGAGTATTTCTTGTAGTGTATAGGAAGAGAGTAACCAAGCTTCTTTCTGATGAGAAAGTTGTAGCAACCAAGCTTCTTTCTGATGAGAAAGTTGTAACAACCAGGCTTCTGCCTTATGGGAAGTTATTTCTTTCATGTTGCTTTAAAAGTGTTATACGTGTTAAGATTTTTAAGTTTTAAATTCAGGGAGAGCTTACAAATCTAACTCTGAAGTCTAAGTTGAAAACTAATTTTTAACAGTATTAAATTCAGGGGGAGCTTACAA